AGGCCTACATATGAAAGAATGGGCCTATGTGGTCAGTGTGCGTGGTATAAAAAAATCCTGCAGCACACAGTGCGTAATGAGAAAAAAAAAACTTTGACCGTGTTTTTGGATTAAAACAGCGACTTTGCACTGTATTTTCGTATGGTATTTATTGTTGTATTCTAGTTTTCTTGGTCTCATTTTATAGAATGGAAGACATATTACAGAAATTGTGATGATTTTGACTGGTTTTACAAAGAAATGTACCTTGAAATTGAACTCAAAGTAGCAGAAATGTTCGATTTTTGCCAAAGTTCAAAAGTAAATCGAATTATGCTATGCGTCCAATACACGTCAATTGGTGAGTCTAATATTCTTTCACAAGTGCGCTGATATTATTTTTACCATTTCTACACCAATGCAGTAGTCTGCATAACAGTAAATCTTCTATTTTTTTGTGAGAATAAAAATTCAAAGTGGAAAGCAAAAGAATGTAAGAGGGGCATGGGGACGTGACTAATGAACAGAGGAAATGTTATTTTAGTGCCAGGAATGTCTTTCTTGTTTACTCTGGACCCTATTCGGAAATTGGCATCTTTTGAAATTTGTGTGAAATTGGCAAAATTGCTAAATTCTGACCACTGTATTGGATAGTTGAAATCTGTAAATGGGTGGTTTCTTGTACTCATTCGATAGAAAAAATGGAGTTCTAGCGAAATAGTTATGATTTTTGTTGACAAGTACACTGGAATTGGCCAAAAATAGGGCTCAAAGTGGGCAAAATCGCCGATGCGTAAACATCGTTGAGACCGCTAACTTTGTGAGAGCATAATTCCATAAGTTTTCCATCAAATTTCATACTTTTGGTGTCATTATGATCGGGAAAAGATTGTCTCTCTCTTTATTAGAATTTTTTTTTTTTTTTTTTTTTTTAAATTTAGCCGACCCTGAGAACAAGTCTCTGAGAGGTCCTGTCGACCCTGAAAGGGTTAAAGCTCTCTTTAAAAAAACATGATACAAGCAACCAGTACCTCTTTGACATGTAAATGAATAATAATAATAATAAGAATAATAATAATTAAACTGTCAATGCTATTTTATTTCACATTAACATTGCTGTTATAAACAGAAAAAGTTTTATTACCTAGGAGAGTCATTATATTAATAGTGTTTTCTCAGACAAGCTATTACCCCTGGTTCAGTTTAAGTAATTCCTAGGCATTTAAAACATCAATAAAATATGTATGCTAAATTGCTACACAATACCTAAATTTACATGTTGGGAGTGCTGATAATAAGTAGTATGTAAGGTACAAAATTAGTTTGCCCAAAAGGCTTCTCATAATAAGAAACTTTCCATAGAATATGCAAGATGATGTGCTGCATTCTTGAACTTAATCAGTGTGTAAGCAAACAAACTGCAAACTCATCTCTTGTAACTGTAACTTCCATGTTTTTTATTTTTTTAGGAAAATAATTTTTTTAATTTAATATATGCTTGTTCTTATGTAAGGTATTGCTTCCAATGTTTGCTACAAGTCCTCATGTAAGGTATTATATTGTTGATGAGCAAGTGAAGGTTATGACTGCATACCCTATATGTATACTGTTTTGTTAACTTTACATATATATTTTCTTGCACTAAATGTTCAGAATGGTTTTTTTATACTGTCCATGGATGTTTGTTCTATTTAAAAACTTAAAAAATATGCAGATTCTAAAGTACTATATATATCAACATGCCATAAAAAGTTATTAATGCTGTAATAAATTCAACCTGGAAAATTAAAACTAGGTAGGATCTGTATTTATGTAAAATTGTACTTGCAGTAGAGAAAACTAATTTCACACTTTTTTGAGCACTGTAATTTTATTGGAGCTTTAGTACTTGAAAATATTCAGGTATATATTAGGTAACCAAATGATTATGAAAGGATCATTCATACGTCTCTCTGCTATTAATGTTCAAATACTGTGACTGGATAAATTCATGACAGTCAGATATTGTCCAAAATGCATTACTTCTTTTGTTATAGTCTGGATCAAAATTGTTTTGAGTTAAAAAAATTATTTACCTAATTATGGCAGGTCTTTATTCTTTGTATACACCATTTCATTCAACTGAAATGACTTACCCATGCTGTTGGATGCCCATGGGTTGATTATTATTTGTATGCTGATGATATACAAGTTTGCATCCGAGTTCTGAAAATGGAAGATGCAAAACTCTTCCTTTAGTTCTCTTCTTCTGGTTATTCAGAATTGGATGACAAATAGAAAATTGAAAATAAATGAGGATAGGACAGAGATATTGATTGTTAGGGCAAATCTCAGGAAAGTACAGAGTGGAGATTTTGCTGACTTTGATTGTGGTACTGTCAGTTTCCAGCCTGTGGGATAAGTGAGGACCTGGGTGTCTACCTCCATTCTTCATAGCAACCAAATAGTTAAATTTTGCAATTTATATATTTGTAATCTCTATATAGTCAGTAAAATATGATAAACAGAGTATTGTAGTCCTTAGCCACATGTTTGTGGGTTTGCCTGACTACTTGCTAAAAAAATACTTCAGTCTGTATTGAATCATGTAGCTAGGCTGGTATTTTTGCTCCCAACCCGGGTTCCCACCAGTACCTACTTGGGTGACTTGCACTGACTCCCTATAAAGGTAAGAATTGAATGTAAATGCTCTTTATTAACAATTAAAGCTATTTAGTTTAATGAACCTAAATATAGGCTGATAGTGCTTGTACCTTTTACATCAGGTTCAGGAATGTTTCACTGAATTGTTGCAGACATTTTTAGATTGATTGAGCCATATACTGTTGGGGAGAAATCATATGCAAAAAGAGCCTTAGATTCTCAACAGGTTTCAAGTGTCTGTCAGGAATAATCAAGTCACAAATTATTTTTATTGTTGTTATTATATTTATAGTAGCTCACAACGTTTTTGTTTTTTATTCTGAAAAAGATTTTTCATAAAGTCACAATACTTGGCCCAGTTTTCTTTCTCATTCTAATATCTGAGCTAAACAGAGACATAAATCATAGCACTGCACCATCCTTCTCAGTCAATACCTAAATTTCCTTGAGAGTGCCATTCATCCAGGACACAGCAAATCTCCGAGCCAGTGTTAACCAAGACTTCCATTTGGCTACAGAACACAGTATATGTTCAGTGGTGAAAAATTTCAGTTGTATTATGGAAAAACTTAAGAAATAAAAATGTGAAATAAAAAAATGCAGTCAAATCATTGAATAGAACAGAAGATGAATATAAGGGACCTAAGAGTAATTATGTCAGAAAGGCTTAAGTTCATGGGTTACATTAATATTGCTGTCACACCTGCAAAGAAAATGATAGGTTGAATAACAAGAGCCTTTGAAAAAATGATAGGCTGTATAACAAGAACTTTGGAAAAAATGATAGGCTGTATAACAAGAACTTTGGAACAAGTGTTAAGCTGAATAATAAAAGCACAAGGAAAATGATCACCTGAATAACAAGAACCTTTGAAACAAGATGCTAAACTAGTGATGATACTCTTTAAGACATTTATACTCTATAGACTGGAATTCTGTGCACTTAATATGTAGCTTTATTTAATTACAAAGCAGGCAAAATTGTAGACCTGGAGAAAGTACAGAAAAGTTTTATTGCTCATAACAATTTGTGCCAAAATTATTGGATGTACCTACATCAGATCTCTTGGATTGCATTCCCTGGAAGACAAGGGAGAAAGATATTATAATCTGTACTATCTGGAAAACAGTGGAAGGACTGGATTCAAATTTATTGATATACAGTACTTATATTTGTATACAGGAGGGCCCCACATATACAGCAGGTTAGGTTCTGAGCTACTGCTGTAAAGAGAAAATTGCTGAAGAGTGAATCATATTTTTTTCACTTTCAAATGCATATAAAAGCCTGATAACATGTTTATACTATCATATATTAAGTGAGTAACATAGCTAGGCCCAAAAAATCATATACAGTACACACATTACTTTAAAATATTTTTGTCCATAGCTTATAGTGAGTGGTAAATATATTTATTGTAGAAAGTCTGAATAAATGAAATATGAGTATAATTGAAAACTGCTGTATTAGCAAAGCATTGTAAAGCAAAGTGCTGTAAAGTGGGGCCCATCTGAACTTCTTTTGTTCTAGGCACTGCAGATCCTTCATCCCATTCTCTGCATTGCAAGTCACTCACCATCTTGTTCCCTGCATTGCAAATCATTCATCATTTTGTTCACTGCACTGTAGATGACTAACCATCATGGTCACTGTACTAAGTACCTTTCAAATAAGTGCCCTCTAAATGATTGTGCTATGTTTGGCTGTAAATAATGTATGTTTATAATACTGTATATACTATACCATACTGTATGAGTGTGTATGAAAATTGTATTCTTAAATGAAAACTTCAGAAGATTCACCTAGGAGGTATATGTCAAAGAGTTTTCAGAGAGTAAGGCTTAGGATATCACAGAAATTTATATTGAGGTTTATTGTCTATAGTAAAAATATTAAGGACATGCAGAACAAACTGTATATCACATTGTTTTCTCTTTCCATGAGTCATCAAGAGTCATCAAAGCCATAAACTACACCTATAGAGTACATTCATCAGACTATAGTATGCTTTGATGGTCCAGAATGTCATAAACAAACAAAGCATGTTTAATTAATTCAGTGATGAATAACAAAGTTAACTTGATTAGTTAAGTGAATACACATATACATGTATACATATACTGTATATGCGTGTCCACATGCATACATACCCAGATACTTGTACCTAGATACTTGAGCAATAGTTACTTTATGTACTTACTTTATTGAGATTCTGGACACTAAGACTTCTCTTTCACTGGATCATGAACAATGAAGGTGCTGGTTTACTTATCTAAATAATGAGACCATATAATAACTACACACACAACCAAAGTTAGATATCAGATTTTTGATGACTCTTGAAATATTGTACATCACCTCTTTTATTTTTTCATAGTGTTACCTGAAGAGAAGCCTAATATTGAAGGTGATGTGGCTGGTCACTATGCTGTAGGAGATACTGTCAACCTTAACTGTACTGCAGCTCCCTCAATTCCCGAGGCTTCACTCGTTTGGTTCATCAATGACAAGCAGGTTAGTTATGGGCTCAATTTTGCTTTATTGCACTACAAGACATTATTATGATCTGTTTTTATTTCTGTAGAAATGGTAGTAGAAAAAGGATAACACCACTGACCACTACCCCACTTTTCTCTTTACAAGCATATGTAAATTACCACAAGACACTACATGTACATGTAGTAAGATCTCATTTTGTCTCCATGATAAGACATCAGTAAATAACTTTATTTGAGCATGAAGTGACATTGACTAGTACATACAGAGAGTTTTGCTGAGAATCAGGAAATTGTTGAATGGGTCATAATTTTTCTACAAAATCACACAAAGCTGTGCAGATTATCACTCATTCCAGTGCTAGATGACTCACTCTCCTACTCTTGAAAAGCTTGAACTTAGTTAACCCTTTCACTGTAGGTCCCATAATATTATGGCTTGCAAGCCAATGTTGGTCTCGTAATACTATGCCAAAATTCTAGCAGCTTCAAATCTGGTGGGAGAAAGTTGGTAGGCCTACATGTGAGAGAATGGGTCTGTGTGCTCGGTGTGCACAGTATAAAAAAAAATCAGAGAGGCTGCAGTGCATTGTGGGAGTGCCAATTCAGACACCTTGTTCACCATGCCTAGTAGTAAGAAATACAGTGGAACTCAGGATTTCTTCCACACTGGATATTGTTTGATTCGGATTTCAACCACTTTTTTCGGCAAAATTTTGCTCCAGATTTCATACCTCATCCTGTAAATCATCCATATTAGACACGTCTGCCCGCCCAGAATGCCGCCACTCATGCATATGTGTCTCAGTCTGGCTCTGTCACTGGTTGAGTGAGCATTCATCCGAAACATTTCATAATAATCCATTGTTTTTTGTGCTTGTTTATTGAGTGCAACTGTGATGTAAGCCACCATGGGCCCAAAGAAAGTTCCTAGTGCTAGCCCTTTGGTAAATTAGGTGAGAAACACAATAGAATTCAAGAAAGAGATTGTAGACAAATATGAAAGTAGCATGCATATGGCCAAGCTCACCAGGATATATGGCAAGTCTAAATCAACAGTCAGTTCCAGCCTGGCAAAGAAAATAGAAATCAAGGAAGCTGATGTTGCAAAAGGGGTGATTAAGGACATTTGTGCAAAGTGGAATAAGGTGCAAACTTTTGTTGAAAAATATCACCCTGATCAAGCTGATACAAGCCGTATCTGCAACACGTTCAGTGACAATACCTTGTCTCTTTTAGGCAAATCTTAAAGAGATGCCAGAAACAGAGCTCTCTGGACAGATTTTTAGTGCGACAGGGGACCAGTGCCAGTAAAAGACAAAGAAGGGAAGTAACCCCAGATAGGGCTTTGATACCTGAAGTCCTTATGAAGGGGGATTTCCCTTCCAAACAATAACCTCTGCTCCTCCTCCCTCTTTCCTTCTCGCTGTCCATACTCCAACAAGAATCTTCAATAAAGGTAAGTGTTTACCTGCAGTTTACCTGGAGAGAGTTTCGGGGTCAACGCCCCCCACGGCCCGGTCTGTGACCTGGCCTCCTGGTGGATCAGAGCCTGATCAACCAGGCTGTTACTGCTGGCTGCACGCAATCCAACGTACAAGCCGCAGCCCGACTGGTCAGGTACCGACTTTAGGTGCTTGTCCAGTGCCTGCTTGAAGACAGCCAGGGGCCTATTGGTAATCCCCCTTATGTATGCTGGGAGGCAGTTGAACAGTCTCGGGCCCCTGACACTTATTGTATTGTCTCTTAACGTGCTAGTGACACCCCTGCTTTTCATTGGGGGGATGTTGCATCATCTGTCGAATCTTTTGCTTTTGTAGGGATTGATTTTCATGTGCAAGTTTGGTACTAGTCCCTCTAGGATTTTCCAGGTGTATATAATCGTGTATCTCTCCCGCCTACGTTCCAGGGAATACAGGTTCAGGAACTTCAAGCGCTTCCAGTAATTGAGGTGTTTTATCTCCGTTATGCGTGCTGTGAAGGTTCTCTGTACATTTTCAAGGTCAGCAATTTCACCTGCCTTGAAAGGTGCTGTTAGTGTGCAGCAATATTCCAGCCTAGATAGAACAAGCAACCTGATGATACACAAATAACCCGCACATAAAAGACAGAAGCTTACGACGACGTTTCGGTCCGACTTGGACCATTGACAAAGTCACACTAACAGAGGAGGAGCAGGACGGCTATATATAGGCAGGAAGAGGTGGAGGTAGTAGTAGTGGTGTAGTAGTAGTAGTAGTAGTACTACTACTACTACTACTACTACTACCACTACTACTACCTCCACCTCTTCCTGCCTATATATAGCCGTCCTGCTCCTCCTCTGTTAGTGTGACTTTGTCAATGGTCCAAGTCGGACCGAAACGTCGTCGTAAGCTTCTGTCTTTTATGTGCGGGTTATTTGTGTATCGTTCCAGTCACGGTATTGTGCCTTTTTGTTATTTAACCTGATGATAATTGTTCATTTATCTGTTTCATTAGTCATTTATATTTCTTTCTCATTGTTTTCTGTATGAAAAACTATAGTTATTCTTTAAAAATGTATTTTTTTGTCAATATTTTTGGGTGTCTGGAATGGATTAATTGTATTTACATTATTTCTTATGGGAAATATTGCTTCAGTTTTCATCCGTTTCAGGTTTAGACCAACCTTCTGGAGTGGATTAAGGATGAAATCTGGGGTTCCCCTGTACCTCACTCCCCAGCAAATTGGGACTCTTCTTTTCCCAATTAATAGTTATAACACACATGGAAGTGTCATGAAAATGGATTTCATGGTATCCTGGGCATTGCCTTGGGCATTGCCCAGGTTACCAGAAATAGTTCTGAAAACCCAGACGACTATCAACCTTCCACCTCTGGTGCTGGGCCGTCTCGTTCACGTTCAGTTATACCAGGACAAAAAAGGAAACTCGTATTTTCTCATGTCCAGGACTCAGATGCGAGCATTGATCATGATAGCGATACTGATTGTGATTTCCAAGCTCTTGAATACAATTCCAGTAGCGACAATGAAGAGGAATATTCTCCAGTGAAGCATCAATTTATACGAGACTACATGCATTCTGGTAGTATGCCATATGCTATTCCAAGGGGAAGGAGTACATCTTGGAGAACAACCCGTGGCCTTACATCAGAAACAGATAGTGAAAAGAGAAGACAGCATGGGTGGTGGGGAAGACAGCGTGGGTGATGGGGAAGACAGTGTGGGTGGTGAAGACAGTGTGGGTGGTGGGGAAGATGGTGTGGGTGGTGGGGAGGACAACATGGGCATTGTGTAAGTAAGTTTATTCAGGTACACACAAATACAGTTACAGAGATTATCATACATGGCAGCATATGTGTAGAGATTTAGATTTTGCCACCGAAGTGGCTAGTTTATTGTGCACCTCATATCCTTCCTGTGGGCGGTAGTGCAAGAGCATATGGATACACAAAAGGCCTAGGAACTAGGCCTCGAAAGGGTTAACAGGTGTACATTTGGATTTATATCTACATATATACAGTTCACTTATCTGTTAGAGCCAATTTATGAAATTTGCTTAGTATATCTGGTATCTTATTTTCATTAAAAAGATATCTTGACAAGTCACATAGGTTATACTGTCTATCTCTATATTCCTCAAGTGGACAATTAAGCACATAGTGTTCAGAGAACCTAGGATAACCCAAAAAAGTCAGACAAAGTGACTCATTTCCATGTGGGTGGTGGGGAAGACAACATGGTTGGTGGGGAAGACAGTGTGGGTGGTGGGGAAGACAGCATGGTTGGTGGGGAAGACAGTGTGGGTGGTGGGGAAGACAGCATGGTTGGTGGGGAAGACAGTGTGGGTGGTGGGGAAGACAGCATGGTTGGTGGGGAATTGGTAATGTTATATTTGGGATGGATAATATACATACAGTAGCAGGTGGTGGTGGTGGTGTAATGCTTCATGTGGCACCAGCAGCACTCCAGGCTGGTAGCCATGCTACTGACTCAGCACATTCACAACAAGGGCCACCTTCAGCCACCCACACACCTCAACAACCTGCTCACCACAACCACAACAACCCACCCACAAAAATGCAGACACTCGTTTTATGTGTGAGGAGTGTAAAATAGCACTGAGCATAAAATGTTTCAAAGAGTTCCACAAAACGTAGCAGTTCTAGAAACGTGTCCGGTGACTCTAGATGTGTATATATATATACTATAGAACAATAGTAATAAACAACTTTTTTAACCCTTTCAGGGTCCAAGGCCCAAATCTGGAGTCACGCACCAGTGTCCAAGAATTTTAAAAAAAAAATTTTGTTATTTTTTCTTATGAAATCGTAGAGAATCTTTTTGTGAAGGTAATAAAACAAAAAGTACGAAATTTGGTGGAAAATTGACGAAATTATGCTCTCGCGAATTTTGATGTGTCAGCGACATTTACGAATCGGCAATTTTGCCGACTTTGACTCCCATTTTAGGCCAATTACATTATTCCAATCAACCAAATTCTTAGCTATTTCACTAGTATTACTTCTATTCTATCGATTGAGCACAAGAAATCGCCAAGTCAACTGTTTCAACTACAAAATAAAGTGATCGGAAATTGTTAATTTGGCCAATTTAACACAAAGTTCAAAATATTCCAATTTCAAAATAGGGTCCAGAATAAACAATGTAGGCATTCCTGGCACTAAACTAACATTTCCTCTGTTCATTAGTTATGTTTTGAGGCTTTACAAATAAATTCCATTTTGATTTTTTATTCACATAATTAATTTTTATTCACACCAAAAAAATAGAAGATTTACTGTTATGCAATACTGTAATAATTATATAAATATCATCACCATATTTGTGAATGTATATTAGACCCACCAGCTGACGTGTATTAGACGTGTGAGGTCGTTTGTTTACTCTTGAATATCGGCAAAAATTTAACATTTCCGCTACTTTGAGCTCAGTTTCAAGCCATTTCCAGTGCTAAAACCAATCAAAATCATCTCTATTTCTGTAATATGTCTTCCATTCTATCAAATGAGACC